ACAAACATATAGTCTTTGGATAGACTTATTATACCTTAAATGGCTAATTCATAAACCTAAAAAAAGGCATCTTAAAAAGCGTTCTACATAGATGCATAATAACCTTACTTCACTATGCCCACTCAACATCAAACATAAGGGAGAAAAACCCCCCAGCTGCAGAATGGTTGGCTGTCCCTGCCATTATAAACATACTGTACGAATTATAATGTCTGGTTTCAAATATCACAGTAAAGCTTAGTGAATAAGCCAAAACCACATTATTGAATGGAGAAGTATTCAAGTTTTTGTAATATCTTTGAAATTAATCCTTGCTTAATAAAAGCAACTTTCTAAAATTGTTCTTTGGCAGAGGTTTGCTGTTAGGGAACAAGAACCAGAATAGATAAATAATTCATTTCTTCAGGACTGAATGTAGAGCAATATGTTGCATCTCCCCCCTCTCCTTACTACTTAGTGTACATGTAAAATTTATTTATTTTAGGGACACAAGCATTATAATGTTTCTAACAATTAATCAGAAATACATAAGCAAAGAATCCCTAATAATATAGCTATATTTTACTTGGCGAAAACAGTATACACATTTCAAATAAAATGACTGGATATAATAGTGATGTTGGGAGAGATTTTGACCCTGGGATCATTTGCTACTGAGTATTGCAAATGGCACCTTACAAGAACTGGTAAAATGTATTTGGCAGAAACATTCTGAACTTGATTAGGGCGGCTTTAAATTGAATTTCAGGGGGCTGGAAATAAAATCCCCAAACTAAGAGCTTCATATATAGACTTTCACACTGTAGAAGGATTAGGGAATGTGGCTGTAAGGTTGTCTGTTAAGCCTCTTAGAGAAAAGCAGAAAGAATATTGGCTTCATTGGCTTTATTGTCGAAGCATTAATAAAAAGTGTAGGGGGAATAAACTTGATTTACTGGCAAAGGAAACTATATTATGTACTTAGATTAACATAGGTAAACTCTGCAATGCATTAATCTTCCAGGAAATTCCTAAATTTGTCTTGCTGACATTTTCTTTTTATCAGTTGGGAAGACTTATGCAGTGTCTTTATTTGCAGCTAGCTATGGCACAAAGATGCCCTGTGATATCTTTTTCTGCTCTGATCTAAAGGACACTGCTGTCACCTCAGCCCATGAATGAGATAGGCATAAGTTATCCTTAGTTATACTGGGGTTAAAAGGCAATGTTTGCCTCTGGAATTGACAGCATCCAGTAACAGCCACAAGGTGTGCAATACTTGTTAAGCTTCTCCATTCATTACACTCAGGGCTAAGTCACATGGCCAATAATGGTGCTTACTGGCCATTTCAGGCTGAAGCGAGTATGTCACCTTTTCTTCCTGGTTAGCCTGATCTGTCATTTTGTTCTTGTCTTTCCAAAGTGCTGAACATAGCAATTTTGTGTCAGTGGCTATTGGAACTGTTCAATAGCTAACCATCCAACAGTGCTGTAAATGATTCTACAGCTTCACCAGGTTAGTGCCACACTGAACTAGAGTAATGAAGATGGACCCATCCTCCTGTTATTTCCTGGCTAGAATACAGAAATGGCTTTTGTTGCCCATGCAAAGAAAGAGAGACAAACGAAATATTGAATTCAACTGCTTTAAAATTTATTCAGCTGGGATTACAATAGAATGGAGATAAGACAAGAGGATGGAATCTAGAGATGAGCAGACAGAATCCAGCAAACAAACCTCCACCTCTGCCATTGTGCCGTGATTAGGGAATGCTTTTTTCCCTAGCTGGTTATGTGCCGAAGAGGGAGAACAGTAAAATCAGAGAATTCAGTTGCTTTGCTTATGCGACACGACATACACAATAAAGATGGCAACGTTTTTCAGTGAGTCAGGCGATAGGGATAGGCTGTGGGGGCAGCAGTTTTCATGTTTTTCTAATTTTCTGCCAATTCAAGGATGGTTGGATAGCACTTTAAATTGGAAAAAGTTGGAAAAGCCTTTAAATAATTAGAGGGGAAGTTGGGGGAAAGTGATAATATAGTACTGGAGTTACCAATTTTAAAGGAAAACAAAGCAAACATATAGCTAGACTATAAAAGAAACTGGATTCTGATATATTTATTCATCTATTTATATCGTCACCCATTTTAAGCAACTCTGGGTAACTCACAATAATAAAACCAATAAATGAAACGATGATAAAACAATAAAAACAGTGGGAAAAATGAAACAAAAACCCTGTGCTGTAATTGGCCCCCTTGGGATGCTCCACAGCATGCTTAGCTGGCCCCTTCCATACTTTCTACCTATGTAATCCCAGCATCTCAGTAAAAAGCAGGTCTTAATGGCCTTCAGAAAAGCTAGAAAGCTAGATGTCCTACATTTTGGCAGGAGGGTATTCCACAAGATATGGGCAGCTAGAGAAAGACATATTTTGAAAGTACCATTAAGTAGCAAGATTTCAGGGAGAGGACCTGGAGGACCTATTTGATCTATTGGGATGGGCAGATAGTCTTACGGAGAGGCAGTCCCACTAATAACCAGGTCCTGTGCCATGTAAGTGACAACCAGTATCCTGCATTTCACCTGGAAGAAAATGGAGCCAATGCAGCGTGTACAATAAAGGTGTGACATGGGTGAACTTATGGTAGCCCAATACTGGGAGCCCTGCTGCATTCTGGACCAGTTGCAACTTATGAGTGTCTTCAAGGGCAGCCCTTAAACTGATAATAACAACTAGGATTATGTGGCATGAAAAGATAAGATGGGTTTTCTTAAAAAAAAATACAACTACAAACAATCGCAGTACAAAAAGGAATTGGAGGACAATGGAAGAAGAAAAGGTGATTTAAAAAAAGCTTGGTGAAGGTCTGAAAATAAAACAAGAAACAAAAGGTGGAAAAGAACAAATCACCAAGAAAAAATACAGGATATATATGACTATTATATAAGTCAGTAACAGTAACAGAGTTGGAAGGTACATTGGAGGTCATCCAGTCCAACCCCCTATTCACACAGGAGACCTGTACTAGGGATTCGAACCGCCGACCTTTCTGATTGACAAGCTCAGTGTCTTAGTCACTGAGCCACCTAGTCAGGCTCAAGAAGTCAAGAAGCTAAAGCTCAGAATTAGCTAAGGTTAATGAAGGATGGGAAGAACAACAATAATGGCTTATTTGGAGGAAGTTCAAATAAATAAATATATACCGCCTGCTCAGATAAAGCAACAAAAAGCACTTAATTATTGAACTAGTAGTCTGGCACAAAGTTCTCCAAAAATAAGTTATGTAGGTAATTGTAAAGAACACAATTAAAGGAGCAGAATTAAAGGTTGCACCTATTTATTTCTATTACCGTGTTTCCCCAAAAATAAGACTGTCTTATATTTTTTGAACCATGAAATAAGCACTTGGCCTTATTTTCGGGAAGGTCTTATTATTTTGGGGCATGTGGAGCAAGATGGGGCTCCTCTTGCAGTCTTACCTGCTTTCCAGCTCTGTCTCCCTAACCCTAACCAGAGGAAATGGTGGGAACTGCCTGTGCATGGAGTTAAATATTTTTGGGGGGGGGTAATCGGGGGGGTTATTTTAGTGCATGCGCTTCAAAGCCTGATTGGACTTATTATCAGGGGATGTCTTATTTTTGGGGAAACAGGATATTATATGTTATTATATTTAATTAATATATTTAATTAATTAATAATTACTGGGCTTGGTTATAGTGTATTTGTGAAAATGATCTTGGAATGGTAATTGTTTTTAAGCTAAATTATGAGTCAACAGAATGATATGGCTACCAAAAAATGCAACTACAATTTTAGATGGCTTCAACTGAAGTACAGTTTCCAAATCACAGGAAGCAATTCTTCCAATTTAAAATAAATTGATCAAGTATCGTGTCCTAGGCACAGTTTAAGAAGGATGCAAATGAAATAGAACAGGTTTATAGAAAGGCAACAAGGCAGATCAGGCAACTACAAACTGAATCATGGGAAGAGAGATTGAAGGAATTGGAACTGATTAGTTTTGAGAAAACAAGACTAAAAGTAGATAACAATCTTTAAATAGCTGAAAGGAAAAGGAGCAAAAGATTTATACAATCCAAAGGGAAACCAGAATATGCTGAAAAAAGATCTCACTAAGGAAGATGAAGATCTATTCTGTATATTTCCAGAATACAGAATAATGGATTTAAATTACAGGATGGCAGGTTACAACTGAATTGGGGGGGGGGGGCTTTTTGACAGTAAAAACAATTTAATAATGGAACCAATTACACAGAAAGGTAATGCATTCCCCTTCAGCGGATGTATTCAAGTAAAGACTATAAAGCCATCTGTTAGAAATGTTTTCATTTGGATTGAATTTAATGGCCAAAATAGTGCATTCCAATTACATGATTTTATGGTTTGACACAATCTCTATTTTTTCCTGCACTGAATTCCCAAGTCTAGAGCCTTCCCTTGACAAATAAGTTTCTACAAATTGTTTACATTATTTTCTGGTTTTTTAAAAAAAAAACACACACATTGTTCCCTATTGCCTTTACTGTTGCCAAGTCAGGGAGGAAAGAAAGGACCAGAAGAGTAAGCTTAAGATGGAGGAAAAGACAACAATTCCGTTTTCCTACGATCAGTTTATACATCCTACAAGGGAAATGTGTGAAGCCTTTAAAATATAAAGAATGCCAGTAGCAAAATTTAACGAAAGTAAATGGGCAGATTAGCCACCAAGAAATCCAGAGGCTAACATTTTTTAATTTCTTAAAGCAAAGGTATCAAGGCAACTGGGAAGGAAGGTTTTTAACCATGCGAGTTTTAAGCTGAGTGTCAAGCAAGGTGTGGGAGTTAGCTATGGCTGACTCAGGTATCAAGACACTCCTACCTGAGCACTGCCTTCCTTGCTATGTAATCTACAGGTGTAGATTGGGGTGGGGCTGGAGAAAGGTAAAAGGAAAGGCGTTCCCCCTCGAGATTCAGGCGCTGGCGGTGGACACCTGTACAATTCATGTTTTCACTTACCCATGTTGTATCCATATGGAGATTCGGTGGCTCCATCCTCCAGGCTAGCTAGTATCTCTCCTTTGCCCACGTCACTGTCCCCCACCAGGAGGAATTTTAGCAAAAAGTCATAAGCTTTCACAGGGCTGCCCACGTGGTTCATCTTCTCAACCCCACCACCTCCACCCCCCACGTCTCTGCGGAGAATCACCTCCCAGCGCCCACGAGGGGCTCCGAGCCACCAGTTGTGCCACCGAGGACCGAGGAGCAGCAACAGCTCGCGAGGAAAGGCATGTTCGAGGAGCCCACCCTGCGGAGGAGTCCCGACGGGCTGCCGATATCACGACCCCTTCAAGCTTGGGATAAGAGAAGACGACGGAGGAGCAGAATTGGACGAGGCGGAGCGGAGGCGTTTTCTTACGGGGACGGCGACGGGAGGCAAGACCCGGAGAGCTTCGACGGGCGTCCTCGGGACGGAGACAAGGAAGGGCGAATTTCCAGCGGCGCCATGGGGTGGGTGGGCAGCTCGCCCGAATTGGCTCTGCAGGTTTGACTCGCGCTGCCCGCAGCGAGGAATGAACCGACGGGAGTCGTGCCCAGAACCCGCCGCGCTGCTCTAGGCGCACCGAAATTGGAGAAGGCGGGAAAGACCGCTCATGACAGCCGATGAGCAGCGCTGGGACAAGCCGCGACCGAGGGAGACTCAGAAGCCTTCGCGCGGGGCGCCGTCGTGTTCCCGAAGACGGCAGCAGCTGGCACCCCCGCCTGCTGTCGCAGTAGCTCTGGCTGTTGTTGTTGCTACAACCTGAGCGCAGCTCTGTCAGACTGTCCCGACCAATTTGCACCCCTCGCTCCCATTGGAGCACGGGTTCTGTGGCCGCGCCCACTACCTCTGCTATTGGTACAGCGGGAGGCCAGAATTCAGAGTTCTGTTGTTATTGGTGAGCGCGGACCCACCCCTCGAGGCCCCACAGTTCAGTTGCTGGGGTACTTCTTACTCAGGATTGGCTGGCACGTCTATCTGTCACAGGGCGAGAGATGCGGAACGGGGGAGTTTACACTTCGGAGGTCGAGGCATGTGTTGGGAAAAGGTACACGAACGTGGTTTGTGGCTCCGTCCGACTCGAACTTCAAGGTCTTGTTAGTACGACTGTCCTGCCTCCGGATTCAGCATAATAAAGAGTACAATGAATCAAGATTAAAAAAAAATGTACGATGCTACCGGGATTTAAGATTAGCAATTGTGAACTGCAAATCTTGTTTTATAACCGTCGAGGTTTGCACTCTTCATGAAGGCAGAAAGAAGGAAAACCACATTTTGATTATATCGTGTAAAAGACAGTTCTGAGTGGAGTCATATGTCGTTTAACAGTGTTATTTAATAGTTACTGGATCAAATAAAAATTTTAGCATCTTGACCTTGGACCTGACTGAACAATTACTTATGTATAACTTTTAAGTATTATAATACTGGGGAATACCCCTCTTCTAGAAGAATTAAATATTTTGAGGAATATTAAAAAGGCAGAATATTATATTTCCCTGGATGAGAACTGGAGAAACATTTTTTTTGAGGGAGAAAGCAGCCCCCACCTTTCTTAATAGCCCTCAGCAGATGTCAGCACTTAAGAGATAAAGAGGTAGATAGCTCTATTCATAAGCAAATACTCACCCGAGAGCCAAAACAGGAGGAAAGCCATTAAAACACAATAGGAATTGTACAACACCCTTTTGAACACAAGCCTCTTCATTGCATCACCATAAGAAACTTCAATCAAATTTAGCTCAGACAAACATAACCTCTACATGGCACCATGGGAGTCTGACAACAGCCAATAGAATACATGTTCTTGCACAGGAGCAGGAAATTCAAGTGCAAAGTCCAAGAGACGGTATAAAAGCCACCCACTCTCAACTCCATGTGGTCAGCTGCCCAGAACCCATGTGGTTCTGCTTCATCGTTAAACCATCTTTCCAATCAGCCTCCATGTTTCCAGTGTCTTTCTCCCAGCTTGGAACTGAACCAGATGGGTATTTCTTCCCACAACACCATCATATAGATTTTAAAACTAATTTGTGTGTAATAGGGAAACTTCATAAAATAATGCAGGGGATGATGACTGATGGCATTTCATTGGTTGGTTAATATACTAGGCTGGTATTTCAAAGGTGTTTTTCCCCAAAAGCAATTGAACTTCTTAAGAATTGAAGAAATTTCTTGGACGAGAAGCAACACTTCGCCAAGCAAAAACAAAGAGAGTCCAGTTGCCTTTGGAAAAAGCACCTTTGGGACAATCATGACCTAGATGGCTGAGAATCTCCATAGACTAGGTTGATATAAAATGAACTGTAATGATGAGTCAGGGCATTACAGGAGGCCCAGAGAGAAGATTGCAGTAGTCAAAACACAAGGTCATGAACCAGCATTAATCAGTACTGCAGCCAGAACTGGTACAGGACAGAAGTACTTTCAGTACAGTAAAGCAGCAGATAGATGTAATTGAATGAAGCTGGGAAGCAAATGAGAAACAGTAAAAGACACCAAATCTATGCTATATATCAACAGGGTGAACAGTAATGTCCATAGATATGGTAAGAGATCAAAAGGGAAAGGTGCTCCTGGATATAGACAACGAACTTCCAGATGAAATGTCAGACCCGAATAGAGAGATTGCAGTTATAACTATTTTGAGTTTTGGATTTATGAGAAAATTCACTTACATAAATTAGCTAATCTATTTTAACTGACCACTCGATTTACATTCATTCATTTAGCAATTGTTCAAAGTTACAATGGCACTGAAACTGACTTATGATCGTTTTTCACACTTATGTCCATTGCAGTATCCCCATGGTCATGTGATTAAAATTGGCAACTTGCATGTATTTATGACAACTGCAATGTCCTGGGATCATGTGATCAACTTTTCTACACTTCTGACAAGCAAAGTCAATAGGAAGCCAGATTACCTTAGCAACTGTGCTACTAATATAACAACTGTATTATTTATTTATTGTTTATTGGTTTGATTTATATGCCGTCCTTCTCCGGAGACTTACAATGCGTTAAGCAATAGTCTTCTTACTTTTGTATATACCTGCTTAGTAGGGCTTTCGTTTCCCCCCCCCAAAGTCAGCTTATTGCCCCCACAATCCGGGTCCTCATTTTACCTGCCTCAAAAGGATGGAAGGCTGAGTCAACCTTGAGCCTGGTGAGATTTGAACTTGCAGTAATTGCAGGCAGCTGGTGCTACTTAACAGCACTTTAATCTACTGCGCCACCAAGGCTCTGTAGTGATTCATTTAACAACTGTGGCAAGAAAAGTCGTAAAATGGGGCAAAACTCACATGTCTTGCTTAGCAATGAAAATTTGGGTTCAATTGTGGTAGTAAGTCAAGGGTTACCTGTAGTCTAAAAAACATATCTACATAAGTATTTTTATACAGTGGAATAATACAGAGAAATCCATTTTTGAAAAAACTTCCATTAGAAATGAAAGAAAAATATTTCAAAAAGTACCCCTGAGCAAGCCTTCAACGATACAGAAACACCAAAGAAAATACTAAAATATTTGAGAATAAACATATACCAAGAGGCATTTTAAGAGATACTTTTCTGTTTACTCATCTAAAACCACCAAATTAAAGCCAGCAGATACCAATTACCTTTTCTTCAATTCTCAGCTGCTGTCTTTTTTTAAAGCTGGTATGTATATATTAACTAGTGAGTCACAAATAATTTCAGCCTAGGAAATCAGCTGTTGTACAGAAATAAACTCTAATTAAACAGCAGGTTGACCAATTAGGATATCTTTGGAACATTACTGTGCACTAGAAAGACATCCATATTAGGAAAAGAGAAAGCAATGTACGAATATATTCCAAACAATAGTCTGAGGTTCAATATACTGAGTTATTTATTTCATGAATTATGTAGATACAATAAATGGTTGATAAAAAAGCACACAGGTATGCTTATCCCTTATATTCTCTAAATATCTGAGAAATTTGTTTTGGATTACCTGATATTCTGCAGACTGCTGTTGGTCGTGCAGTTGCTATTAAGTTCTTATATATCCTCATACATCACAGTAGGGTTTTATAAGTTAATTTATTAAACATGTGATTCAATACTCTACTTCTTGCTTAGTCATTATTTAGAAGCCACAATTACTTAACTTAGACACATGCAAATACAGGTAGTCCTCGAATTAACAATAGTTCACTTAGTGACCAATGTTATAACGGCACTGAAAAAATGACTTATGACCGTTTCTCCCACTTATGATCATTGCAGCATCCCTATGGTCACATAATTGACATTTGGATGTTTGATAACTGACTCACAGTTATGACGGTTGCAGTGTCCTGGGGTCACGTGATCACCTTTTGCAACCTGACAAGCAAAGTCAATGGGGAAACCGGATTCACTTAACAATAAGTGATTTTACTGATTTAACAACTGCAGTGATTCACAAATGTGATTAACAAATGTGGAAAGAAAAGTCATAAAATGGGGCAAAGGTCACTTAACAAATTTCTCATTTAATAACATAAATTTTGGGCTCAATTGTGTTTGTAAGTTGAGGACTACCTGTATAATGGTCATTCACCAGTGGTGAAATCCAAATTTTTTACTACTGTTTTTGTGGGTGTGGCTTGGTGGGCGTGGCTTGGTGGGCATGGCAGGGGAAGGATACTGCAAACTCTCTATTCCTACCTCACTCTGGGGCCAGCCAGAGGTGGTATTTGCCGGTTCTTCGTACTACTCAAAATTTCTGCTACCGGTTCTCCAGAACCTGTCAGAACCTGCTGGATTTCACTCCTGCCATTCAATGTTCATGCTTGAGTTGTTGATAGTTGATTTCCAATTATCCAGAATTAGCATTTCCCCTTGTCAATGATGTCACTTAGGTTGATTTCCAATGAATTTGTTTATCCTAAGTGATGTATTTATGTTTGTTTACTAATTTTCACATGACACTCTCTTATGGACAATTACCAACACTACAAAGATATTGCCAGTAAATGATGTTATAAGCACACAAAGGGTGTGATGTCCCGGGGCAAGGCATGGAGGCAACACAGTTAGCTGATATTTCAAACTCCCCTTTATTGCCCCAATTTTCCCTCCGAAGGCTCACACGTTTATGGCAAGTCCCGCATCAAAGTGCTCATACACACCTCCAGCAGCCTCTGGCTGCGAGTAGTCCAACAAAACACCATTAGCACAATGGCTTCAAGGCAAGAAGTCCAGTGAGGCAAAGGGAACAATGCAATAATATGGTAAGAAGTCCAATGAGGCAAAGAAACAAGGCAGCAACAAGGCAAGAAGTCCAGCAAACTGCAGACATTGGCAACGGCACATGAAATTCCACCAATTCAGCGCTTGTTCTTGACAAGTGCCCCTCCCCACGGTGTCTCCTTAAGTCTCAGTCCCTAGGTGTGCCTTGTGAAGAGGAATGGGGCGCTCTCCTCCTGAATCATTGGGTTGGCCTGCGGTGCTCCCGTCTTCTCTCTACTCTCTGTGCTTGGGGATCTGGAGGGGGTTGGTACTTGCTCATCACCTGAGCTCTGTCGCTCCTCCTCTCCACTACCTGACCTCTCTTCCCGCCTCTCTTGATCTTCCTACCCCCATTCTTCCCTGCTGGCAAGCCGTCCCAGGCCTGAGGAACCTGGGGCTGCCTCATCCTGCTTCCACCACATTCCTCCGGAGCCAACGAGGCCGCACCCTCGACCTCCGAGGGCCCCAGCTCCAGCTTGTCCTCCATGGACTCAGGCTCCAACATGACAAAGGGCCTTTCTTTACTTGCACCTAACCCTACCCTGGCTGATAGGCTTTTTATTCTGATATACTCTTGTCCCAAAACCATGAGATAAACAGACTTAAATTGTCCTTAGTTATATCAGTGTTAGAGGAGTTATTTCATTCTTATTTCTATACTGTACAAGATCTTTTACAAATCTTCTTTGAAAGGAAGGTAGGTGACTTCGATGACAAGAGAAAGGAAATAGAGACATGACTGGGTTTTCAATGTAAAATTTTGTACTGGCCACTACATCATTGCTGAAATGATATAAAGCCTGTTGTCATTATTACACTGGTTGTGTTCTCAGCATAACCTGAACCACAAACTATCCAAGAACAATTTGCACTGGTATGTTGTATAAACATAGCCTGTGTATTACTTTGTGGTTAGGTGTGTCATGCAAATTGGGTTAACCATGGAAAAATGTCATTCAATCACAGTCAACGAACTGTTACAAATTCAAGTTTCTTTGTCCTTTTCAGTAAGATTTTTTTTTTAAATTAAAAAAAATTGTAAAAATTTGCTCTAGATTCATATACTGTATTATGGTAAGCCAAGCAATGAGCATGGCTCATTGAACGAATATAGCTGGATTCACATCATGTTAAGTTATTGTGTTTTGGTTTCTTTGGTATTCTGTATAGAAATTGCTATAGAATAAGGAGTCTAAATATAGTTAGAACTGGAGCCTATATATCTGATGGACTTTTATCCATAGAGTGAAAGAAACAGGTTAGAGGACATAAAAAAGATTTTTTGGGGGTAAGTCTTTAGAAAATGATTTACAGTATTTATTCCGCATATTGAACACTAAGGATTCTGTTACTGTTTAGGAAAGCAGTATTGTCAATACACAACTTTAGTATTTAAAACAACTCTTAAATGCATTAAGTTCCTTGCATGCATGTTTTCAGTTATTTAAAAGAAATCCAAAGGTCCTTCTGCATTTAATTTCTTGTAACAAATGTATAGAAAGGTAGGTTTGTATAAACCAGTGTTTCTTAAGCTTTTTTCCTCTCAGGATCCTTTCTCACTTTTTAAAATTATGGATGACCCCAAAATAGCTTTTGTTCATATGGGTTATAATTATTGATATTTACCATATTCAAAATTAAAATCAACACATTTGCTGCCTTTACTGCTTCTCATGATTGTTTGATGGGATTTTAATATTGCATTATTTTTCAGCATACGCTGGCAAATAATATTGATAGTGCAGACCCTGAGAGATACTTGGGAGGAGCTTTTGGGGTCGTAATATTACACTTAAAAAACACTGGTATAAATAATTTCAATAATGTAGACTAGTAGAGCAAACCCAAAATTTAAATCTGTTATTGTTAATACAGAAGGAGTGTGCTGGCGTACTCCAAATTACAAGGGAAAACTGACTTCACACAATACACTAAAAAAAAGTCCTAGTGAAGCTCTGCCTTGGTTCAGACTTGATTCCCATGCAGTGTTAAAATCAAAGAAATCTTGTTAGAGCTTAGCTGCTATTTTGGGTTATTCACACTTAGCATGACGTGTGTGCGCAACCACTTATAGTCCCAAAATATGCTCCCCTATGAAATTAACCGTGGCTTCTGGGTTTACGTCAAGATTCTGGCTTCTTCCGAATTATAAGTATCCAAACTGGGTTCCTAGTGCGAATCTAGACAAGGAGCAAACAGTTCAGGCTCAGCTTTCCTTTCATCGCAGCGATGCAGGCAGCCGCTGGATCCTTCGGAGGCGCTGCCTTCCCCCGAGCCGGGTTTTCTTCTTCCGGGCGCTCAGATCGCCGTTGCAGTTCAGTTGGCGTAGGGGGGCGGCTAGCGCAGGAGAGGCGAGGATTGTGGCTCCCGGGTGTCTCGGGATCCTCAGAGGAGCGCCGGGTTGGTGCGTGGCCCAGCTTTTCCAGGACCTCCTGCGATGGAGGCGGCTTTGCGGCGAGAACTTGGCACCTCGGTGCTGCGGCCTGCGGGACACTCGGGGGGAGGCTGCATCAGCCACGGCGAGAGTTTCCACATCGACCACGGGAAGGTCTACGTGAAGCGCAATGATAAGGCCGAGGTGGGATGACACAGACTGGGGTAGGGCGGGAATCTTAGGCTGGAAAAAAGAGCGCCTACTCCCGGGTGGGTTAATTGGTTGGCTGAGGTTTTCTACTACGGCTCCTTCTGAATGTACCTGCACCAAGCGAGGCTTTTCTTTGCAACGGGGAGAAAGCGAAGGGTGGTGGGGTGGTGATGGTTGTATAGTTTTTGAAAGCTTAAGCTATAGGAAAAGCACCACAGAGAGGCATTCCTTTCAGGTTAGATAGACAGATTAACAGAGTTGTTAGAAGGGACCTTGTAGGTCATCTAGTCCAACCCCCTTCCCAAGCAGGAGACCTTACACCATTTCTGACAGATGGCAGTCCAGTCTCTTCTTGAAAGCTTCCAGTGATGAAGCTCCCACAACTTCCGAAGGCAACTTCTGTTCCATTGGTTGATTGGTCTCACTGTCAGAAAATTTCTCCTTATTTCCAGGTTGAATCTCTCCTTGATGAGTTTCCATCCATTATTCTTTGCCTGGCCTTTGGGTGCTTTGGAAAATAGCTTGACCCCCTCCTCTCTGTGGCAGCCCCTCAAATATTGGAACACTGCTAGCATGTTTCCCCTGGTCTGGGTTGCAGGATGGCAGACCTGGGTTGCCCTGAAAAAAAGTTGTGGGGAGGTATTGATAGGCAGAATTTTTCCTTTGGTCCGTAAATTTTCCTGGGTCCTAGTTTTTTATGTGTGTGTTGAGAAAACTGGATTCATAGAGTAAGCCATGATATCCTATACAAGCTCTCAATTTATCACTACAATTGAGCCCAAAAATTCTCTTGCTAATTGAAACATTTGTTAAGTGAGCTTTGCCACACTTTATGACCTTTCTTGCCACAGTTGTTAAATGAATCACTCCAGTTATTAAGTTAGCAACATGGTCGTTAAGTGAATCTGGCTTCCCCATTGACTTTGCTCGTCAGAAGGTCACAAGTGGTGATCACGTGATCCCTGGACACTGCAACTGTCATAAATATAAGTCAGTTGCCAAGCGTCTGAATTTTCATCATGTGACCGTGGGGATGTTGCAATGGTCGTAAGTGTAATAAATGGTCATAAGTCACTTTTCTTAGTGCCATTGTAACTTCGAACGGTTGCTAAATAAACTGTTGTAAGTCGAGGATTACCTGTACACATAGGGCCTTTCCACTCTTGCATCGAAACTCAAATAAACATGTCCTGGCTATGTCTTTCTGGTGTGATTCTTTAAGGGTTACCTTTGTTTGGTCCCAAGTCATTAAAGGCACAGGGGCTTAAGTTGTCCTTAGTTGTTTTAGTAAATAGCGATTCTGATACTATGTCAGTGTTTTCTACTCTAGTCAGATACCTGCTCTTCCAAACTATATTACTGGAAAGAGAAGCAACAGGAGATTAATGCTGTATGTATGTATGTTCTGTTTTACCAACTTATGGTGAATGGATAACATTTCAACTCAGCAATGAAGAATTAAAAAAAATATTAGATTTAAGGCCATCTTAACCTGAACAACTCTGAGTGGTTTACATGGCCATGGGGCCTGTCCACTACATGTAACACTATATGTAACCCATGGCTCAGACATATGGGTGCTTTTGAGAATATAAATTGTATGAAACATTTCTTGTGTTGCACAGTGTTAAACAATGGTTTACTTAACTTCAGTTTGTTGAAGTTGCCTAGCGAACAGAACCCTGAAAGAACCTTTTACTTTGTAGTAATCACTTTGAATCCATTTAAAAGTCAATTTTTTTCTAGTAGGATATGAAATAATAAACTGAAGTGTCTTTAATCATCAGCAGAGTGTTTTCTTTGCATTGCTAAATATCACAAGAAGATTGAGTACTGGAGATTATCCATGCACTACGTGTTTTTCCTGTGGTTGCATCAACAGACAGAACATTTTTTTAAACAAAATTGTTGCTGTTAAGAAGCAGAGTCAGGATTTATGGAACTCTTGGCGACCGTCTATTGGTTATTCAGATTTGTGCAGCTTAGAGATGCAGCCCTAGGATAAGTGCTGTTGAATAATAGGACTTTGAGAAAGATGGTTAGCTGTAGGAATGATAAACTCATCAAAGAACATTACATGAATAGAGGAGACTGTACAGTACTTCCTGGGAATAGTGGCCACTGTGAAGATTTCCCAGCTGCACAGGCTGCAGAAATGCAAAAGTTGAGACGTTTGAATTTCAATTATATGTGTTAAGCCAGGGATGGATTACAGTAGTATGTTTCTGGACTTGTAGTTTGCAGATCTACAGATGACCTGGGTCATTTGAACTAGATGATTAGCCTAAAGATTTAGCTGCTGCCTATCAGATTTCATGCCTGATAAACTCAGTCCTTTTTGTACCTACCGTACATAGGTTTCTTTTTGTTTCATTCTATTATTTCTGTCTTTGTTCCTTTTTCTCCTTCTTCCTAGGGCAGCTATTATATTTCCTAACCTATCTCCATCCTGTTTTCTTTTTCTTTTTTTCTCGAAAGGAAGAGCGGAATATGTGTATGTAGCTTGCATGTATCTGTGTGTAAGTGGTTTGCATGTGCAAAGGGAATCAGTTAATTTTATAAATAGGATACTTCATTTTATAAGCAATTACTTTTAATGAGAGTTATTCCATTCCTGTGTACATGATTTATTCTTTCCTTATTTTTTGAGTGTAACTTCTGACATTTATTTATGCAACCCTTTGAGTCAGTTTTTGACTCTTGTTGACTGTAGTCCCTAGGCAGCCAGACAAGGCTTTTCCAGAAATGCTTTGCTATTGTCTTCTTCCTGAGGTCACTCAGTTGGCTTCGTGCCTAAGGCAGGACTAGAAATCACAGTCTCCTGGTTTCTAGCTTGGTGCCTTAATCATATACCAAACTAGTTCTTTCTAGCATTAGACATTGGTGTGTGTATGTATGTATGTATACATTCACACACATACACATGGGCATACACACACAGATATGCAAGTATAATTCTTGCACATATTTATAAGATGGGGAGAAATCTCTAGCTCTATTTTTTGTTGAAACTGCCCTCCCAAGATTTTCAAGGCATTAGACAACTTTTGTCTGTGCTTATTTTGTCCACTCTTGCTTTTGTAAGGGCTCCTCTTAAATTTAAAATAATCTTTCTTTTGGCTTATAGGGAAAGGAATAGAATGTGAACAGGACACATACTTGTATGGTAGTCCTGAAGAATTGGGAATACAGTAGGTTTCCCTACTGTGTATCATCTATTGAGTAAAATCTGATCATAATAGCATTTAATAAAAGAGATTCATTGGGGAATAATTTAATGAAGTTCCTATACTTGTGGATTAGCATGTAAAATGAAATAATATAGCAAAAAATAGAAGGTCTGGTTGCATGAATGAAATAACATGAGAAATTTCTGCTTTGAAGATGTGAAAGAGAGCATGTTTAAAACCTGCAAATCATCATTAGTAAATGTCATCTTTTTTAAAAGGATTGTCTACTTTTTTGTAGGTTTTGGATTATTTTTTCAACTTGAAGTCTCACACACTGAACAAGGATATAATATTATACTATGGTAACTAAATGTACTTGTATAAAACAGGTAGAAATGTCATTTTAATGTGGTATATGGTAATGACTCACAAATAATAATGGTGGAATATTCTTGGTTAGAAGCTGCCTATTGTAAGTACAGATAACAGATTAACAGAGTTGGAAGGGACCTTATAGGTCATCTAGTCCAACCCCCCACTCAAGCAGGAGACCCTACACCATTTCTGACAAATGGCAGTCCAATCTTTTCTTAAAAGTCTCAAGTGATGAAGCTCCAACAACTTCCGAAGGCAAGCTGTTCCATTGGTTGATTATTCTGTCAGAAAGTTCCTCCTCATTTCTAGATTGAATCTCTCCTTGGTCAATTTCCATCCATTTCAAAAGTTAACAGTAACTTCCTCACAAATTATTTTATTCAGAACAAATATAAATGCCAAACTGTACAGTTCACATTTCTTTATGACCCTGCTGCCAGATTACATCTTTTGGTGTTTCTTACCTAAGTGTAAGACTTTACTTTTCTCTACATTGAATTTCATTTTGTTAGATAGGGCCCAGTGTTCAAGTCTGTCAAGATCCATCTGGATCTTGAGCCTATCTTCTAGGGTGATAGCTATTCCTGCCATCTGCAAATTTGGTGAGTTCCCCTTCTATTCCCTCATCTAAGTCATTTACAAAGATATTGAAGTGTTTATGTTTCCACAAAGTTGTTGTCTTCTGTGTTACGCAGAAATGTTTCATTAGGGGTCCGTGGTGCTCTCTGAGTTTGCTTGTTTTCTTGCAGACATTTCATTATCCAAACTAAGAAACGTCATCAGTGCTACTAACATCATCAATGCTTGACTAGCACTGATGACATTACCTAGTTTGGGTAATGAAAAGTCTACAAGAAAACAAGCAAGCTCAGAGAGCACCAAGGACCTCTCATGTCAACCCAGAGCAACAAATATTCTCCTTTATTAGAAATGTCTTATCTAATAAATAAATATTCGATTTTAAAACTCCCTCCATTCTTTAGTGTAATCTGGCAGCAGGGTCATAAAGAAATGTGAACTATACAGTTTGGCATTTATATTTGTTCTGAATAAAATAATTTGTGATGAAGTTACTGTTATTATTTTTTTTAAATGTACACCATTGAAAAGGGCTACTATTCAATGCAGGAGAAATATTTTAATAGCTTTTTCTTATTATATTCGATAGGCCAGAAGAATGTTTGATGGAGAGATGGCAAGTTTAGATGCTATTCTGCAAACACAGACTGTGAAAGTTCCTAAACCTATCAAAGTTATTGATTTGCCAGAAGGTGGTACTTTATTTGTGATGGAACACTTGGACATGAGAGGTCTCAATAGGTAAAGTTATGAGGACAAAAAATTACAATATTTTAAAAAGAACATGGTACTAAACCAGCTTTAGACTGTGCTTGTAACTTCATGAGTCACAGATTAGGCTTCTACAATTTAGTTTATCTTGAGACAGATCTAAGTCTGTAAATATATAGTTCATTGTGGAAACAAACAAAATTGGGTTAATTGGTTAAACCAAGGCTAAGTTAAACTTGGGAGTACTGTATACAGCCTCAGTTCAGTAGTTAACTGAAAAGTAACCAAATATTGGACATATTTTAGATTCTTAGGAGGTTTTCATATTAGTGCAAAAAGTAAATAAGGGGCAGGGAGGTGTGGCTGCTGAAATCATATAGCATGAGCTTTGGCAGTTCTCTGCTAGGAAAGCCAGCAGCCCTGAGTCACTGATCGCTGGATTTGCTCCATTGAAGTTTGTGAAATCTGACCTAAAAGAGAGCACTATTAAGGAACCAAAATATATTGAGTGGTTTGTACCCAAGTTATACTAGCATTTTTAAAGCTTTTATATAGTAGAAAAAATATTTGTAGTAAATTAATAAAATACTGAATTACTAGTTTGATTACTTTTATTAAATATGAAATATATCACATTTTATTAAAAAATATTGAAAACTACTAACAGTATTATAATCAAAGTTTGAAGCAACACTACGGTCAGATTAAGATACAAATCCTTAGTGTAAGATCCAACAAGTTCGGTATTAACAATACCCATTGCCATTTCAACCAAACCCAATTATTTTCAGTTGTTAATTTGATACTTGCTGGTAAGAATAATTTGTTTTGACTTTTTAGACATGCAGAAAAACTTGGGATTCAGCTGGCTGATCTTCATCTTCATAATCAAAAGCTTGGGGAAAAGTTGAAGAAAGATGCAAACACTATTGGTAAATGGTTTAGCTGTTTTGAGAATTTCTAAAGCCCAGAAATTTATTGTATATCAAATTGTTAATGCTTCTAACAGTTTTCCTTTACCTCCTACAAAACCTGGTTGTATAGCCCTAGAAAATTCCTTTCATTTGAATAGAAAGACGGTCAATAGTAACAAGGTTGTTCTTTGTCAGTAGGATTTTCATAAGAACCATCTTTTAAATGTTCAGTATTCCTCAATATTGGATATCTTATTTCATTGTTAAAATGAATCATGGAAATTGAAGAGCAATATTTATATAATTCTTGAGATATGAAAATATGTAGCCTGAACTCACATATATAATTTCAGTTATTTCTGCATCCATTTAGAAGATTTAGATTCATTTAGAAGAGCAAAATAATCTAGTATTTAGGGTACTTATCTATTGTAGTAGTAAACTACCGGTATATCTTTTTTTCCATTCAAGGTAAAAGTCAGATGGATACTCAGTTTGTGGAAGAGTTTGGGTTTCATTCTGTCACTTGTTGCGGTTATCTTCCACAGGTAGGCTTTCATTGACTGTTTTTTGCTTTGCAAAATCTTGTTGTGTTACTCTTCATACATACATATTTGTTTGCAAATCATTAAAGCAACCCTGCCCTTTCCAAGGATTGTGTGACCACCTCTGCAGCTGCTGCATAAATGTGAAAAGGGAATATTTGGTTCAAAGAGTTGCAAAGAAGATCAGTGTTCACACCCTCACTTACACCGGAGCACCTATTTAAACTGCTGCCTAGCACTAATATATACACATTTTAGGGATGTGTGGCACTTGGATTCCAAACAAGAAAAAGTGCTTCTGAATGGTATAAGTGTACACAGCATACCTGTGAGACCGTAAAGAAGCTATCTTTTCTTAGGTGCACATGGTAGTTCTGTGATGCTAGAAAAATGTGTTTGAGTTGGGGAGGTGCTGAGCATTCACTCACACTTTTTCCAACATAGCTTCTCAACATGGTTGAGTGCTATGTGAGCACAGAAAATAAATGTAGATTTTTTTAAAAGAAGCACTGACAGGTATGCTACTGTGCCCTGCCCACTTTGAAGCAGTGCATATTTTGTGTGTGAATGAATAATTTAAGAGATAATTTAGAGAAGTACGATTTGGTATAAAGAGTCCAATACAGTATTAGTATCATCAATATATTGTCTGATATCCATTTTGTGGTAGCAGAATGACAGATGTCATTGCTGCTGCTTCCCTGAAAAATAGATGTACTTTGCAATTAAGCGGATGATGGTAGCAATAGCTAATTTATGCAGTAGAGTCCAAAATGTGAGTTCAATGTGATGCTACTGTGCCAGGATTTTCTCTTAAAAACAGTATTTTGGCACAGTTGATCATCTTCTTGAAATTAGCCAAGTTTAGCTGCTACTTAAGATGTTACTTAATAGTGCAGTTCAATGGCAACAATCCAAAATCTTAGGAAATTATTATTTAAAATATTAGGAATTACTTGGATGGTATGTAGGAGAAGAAAGGATTTCTTCTTGGAATTTATTTCCAAAAACATACTCCAATTTGGGAGATAGATTCATATTATTGATTAGTATTATAAATGCTACAAATATGTAAACCCTGCAAAAATGTGATTAAAATAGACAATGTAGTGGAAATGATTATTCATTTGATGGACAAGCATAGCAAAGACAACAACAAAAAACTTTATTTGCAGGTTAATGACTGGCAACAAGACTGGGTAAATTTCTTTGCTAGGCAACGAATTCAGCCTCAGATGGATTTGATTGAGAAAAATTCAGGAGACAGAGAAGCAAGAGAGCTTTGGGCTCAACTCCAGGTAGTGATCTCTATGGAAATTCAAAATGGCATCCTCATTATACGGTATTTTCAAAGCAATGTAATTTCCATGCTACTCTACTGGTGTGAAACAATGGGTTCTTCTACTCAAACTGATTAATGAGAGCTCCTTTACCTATCAGTTAACTTAAACTTATAAGAGGTGAAACATGAAAACTATTTCGTTTTTGAGATTTAGTTGCTCAAATCTATTATGAACCATTTCAGTGGGTCAAACTGGTATAGATGCCACTTGTGGGTTCTTGCCAAGCTTTTTATTGCAGGGAAGCACATTCATAACACATTCTATAGAATCTAGTTAAGAGCGACTTCTGTGGAATTCTGTGTGACTTATTTAGAGATAAGCAGATTTTGGTTTGCAGCTTAATATTCCTTTCTTAATAGCCCTTTTTTGTAATCAATATTTTTTTTCATTTTCTATGAATCCATATAATGCTGTTTTCTAATTTCTTATTTTTTTTGAAAGATCAGTCTGAAATTATTTTTTGCTTTTACAATAGCAGAATATAAATAATAATTTCAGTACCAAAAACTGGTCAGATTGATAGTGTTAGCTAACCCAAAAATAATGTTTTATAAAGATACTTGCTTGTTGCTTGCTTATTCCATTAATTACCATATTCCATTTATATGCTTGAAATTCTGCCTTTTTTCAGTTTAGTAGTACTGTTTTTTATTAGTGGATAAATAATTCATATATATTTATTTCAATTTAAAATCATATGTATGTATAGTATCTACACATATGCATACATGACAAATATATGGGTGGCGGGTTGGACTAGATAACCTACAATAAATAAGAAAGAAAATGTTTGGTCCTACTGTGTTCTTGCTGTGGCTTGAGTGTTAAGTTTTTTATACATATTAAATTTAAAAATTCAAGTTCTTCTCCCATTTTAAGTGACATACAGACAAGAATTACCCACATGTAAAGTCAGAAACTCAGGTTGCTTGTTTGGATCTTAGCATGTTTTGTGAACATACCTAGTCTGGATTGCAAATCATGATTGTGTGAATTTAGCTGATCGAAATTTAATAAACCCTGGTTAGAAAATCATAGTATGCTACGTGAGTGCAATCCAAGTCTATTTATACTTAGTGATTCTGGAGTAGGACTTTGGTATGCAATTCTCTACCTTATTTACTAGGTTTTAAGGGCAGTTCACCTTTTTAAACCATCTTATCTGTTCTTAATGCTATATCCATTGTTTTTCTTGTCAAAGAAAATTCAATAAAAACCGTAAAACTAATGTGCTTTTTAAGGGTACAATTAGGAGTACTGCAATTAGTGTGCCTAGAGACACCCCCCCCGCACTTAAAGGTACTGTACAGTTAAATGACTACTTAGATAACAGATGCTTTCCTCCAGCCAAGTTATTTTTGTTTCTCTTTCTTTTCTAGGTGAAGATACCCAGTTTGTTTGGTGATCTGAAAATAATTCCTGCTCTCTTACATGGGGATCTGTGGGGAGGAAATGTAGCTGAAGATGATTCTGGGCCCATTATCTTTGATCCTGCCTCTTTCTATGGTCACTCTGAGTATGAGTTAGCAATTGCTGGGATGTTTGGTGGTTTCAGTGGTTCATTTTATTCTGCTTACCATGGTAAAATCCCCAAAGCACCAGGCTTTGATAAACGGCTCAAGCTTTACCAACTATTTCACTACATGAACCATTGGAATCATTTTGGTGGAGGCTACAGAGGGTCATCTATAAATATTATGAAAAATCTGGTGAAATGATTTATTGTGAAATTTTATTAACTCTGTTTGGAAAAATACATGGGTTTTCAGCTGCAGTGATCTGTGATACTTAATTTATTAAGAGTTATACCCAGTTTTTCATCCAGGAGCCCCAGGTGGTACACGTAGCTCTGCTTCCAATTTATGCCCAGGAGAGAGACAGAGAAAGAAAGATAATGATCACCTGGAAGTCACCCAGTGAGTGTCCTTGGGTAAATTTCCTCATCCCACTCCAGCATCTTAATTACTATATTCCACTCGTTATAATTTAAATTATCACCCCCTTTCCATAATTGAAGATCAATCCTACTATGTCCCAAGCTTGGTGTCCTATTAACTACAGTTTATTAAAGAGCTGTCTGAGGCGGAAATAATCCAAGATTTGCATGAAAGCCTTTTTTGCTGTTAAGATGACACCATTGAATTGATTTAGTAGGTTGCAGTAGACAAAATTGCTCTTGAAACAATAGTTTAGATACATTTTTTGCCAGCAGGGTGGAAAGGGAACAAAAATAACAATAATGATAAAGGCACAGTCGGAGATCTTAGTGATCTTTCTTTCATGAATATATTGGGAATTTTCTTGCTTGCTATGAAACTAAGATTACTCTCAGTATTTATAATATTACTTTTATTTCAGTTTTATCATTATAGCTGCATTTACATTAGATGCATGTTCTAAGCTAAAATTGGAATACATAGGATGCTGCCTAGGTGACTTTTGTTTCTACCGTGAATGTTGTTAGCATGGCTGCAGTTGTCAAAATTCAGGACTCTGACTGAATCTTCCAATCACACTACAATTTGCTTGATGATCTGGTTTGTCTTCCTTCTGTAAGGCTCCAGCTGGTGTATGTTCCTAACTACCAAAAAAACTTGACCTAATCTTGTGTTGTACAATGTACATTCATGGATTAAGTTTATTTATAGGCAGCTGTATCTATTTCAGAGTTACTTTCTGTGGCTGGTTGGTGGAATAATTTCTCTTTGAAGCCATTCAACTGAGCTGGGACTCTAGCTCCCAGAAACTCTAGCCAACCATTGCTGCTTTGGCTGATAAATCTTGGGATTGTATGCAAGGCTGAGGTAAAAATAGGCTATCAGTGATTTTTACAGTTTGTTCTGAACTACTTTGAGTAGTGATAAAAATAAAGCAATCTTTGTGCTGATAAAATGCTAAACGCTAAATACCACTTAAAATTAATATAGGTTTAGACTTTAGATTATGAGGAAGGAATCAAAACCTGATTGATCTTCCCCTTCCACATATACACATAACTTCTCCCATTTTAATACTTTGGTTGACTGTAGTATCTTGCAACCAGTTAGGCTCACAATACTATTTTTCCAGAGGGTGTTTTTGATTCACTACTGCTGAGCTAAAATATATGGTTATTTCCCATTCCCCCCATCAGATATAAAATTTTCCTGCTAGAAAAAAAATCATTTATTGATTTTGTCTGTCACCTATAGTATAAACTCTAACTAAAGTAGCAACAATAATTCTAATTCAGATTGTGATAGTATATTAATTCTATTGAATCTTTTAGTAAAAGTATGTTGCTTTTACCTTAGTTAGGCGAGGGCTAACTTTTCTGGGCAGTTAATTAGAGAATTAATTTTAGCTATAATTATGTGTCCAGCATCAGTTTCCTCTGTGTGGATTGTTTAACAGGGGAGATTAGAAAGAGAAAGAAAAGTTTTATTATTGTATTACTAATTCCCCTTAGTTTTTGCATTTGCATGAATCTGCTACCGCTTGTTTCTAGCGTACAGCAGCAGGAATGCTGAATAAGTATTATCTAATACTTGAAAAAGTATACTGGAAATACCCAACATGATTTACAACAATTGTGAAGTGCTGATGAAGAGTTTTCTAGAGAGTAGTAAATAGATCCAGAACCACATTTGAAAATAAAATGTGGGTCTGGATGAAAGGATACATATGAAAATACATTATTTTTAGAAATAATACCAAAATACTGCAGAATATATATCTTTTATGGCAAACAATTAGAATATGGGTTTTGCTCTTTCAGATGTTGCTTTTTGGTGGCTGTCCATTCTAAATTGCCAGGTAGGTACCGGTAGAGAGGCATGATTAATAGAATGTATGCTCATACAGACCCTTGGAATGTTTTTGATGCTTTGAATTAACATTATTTGACTTTACAATATGGAAAAAATATTACACTAATTTTTAAAAATTCCAATCGTCTCTGTTTCCCTGCTTTCTCATTTTGCATAACAATACCACTAATTTTCTGAGTTTAAAGAAGTTGCTGTTTGTCATCCTTTGTAATTGTTAAAATAAAATATATTCCTGAGCATTTCACTTTTTTTTTTCCTGTTTGGTATTATAAATTCGCCATGATCCATTTTATTAAAATTATTGGGACAAACATTACCCAACCTAGAATAATTCAAATTGTACCCACTTGTATGTTGTAGGCATTAAAAAGCCAGGCTTATCTCTACAATTCTTTTCAACCTTTTTATCTAATACTTGTAATTACAATATTGTGAATTCCTTGAAATTATCATGGAGAATTCTACCTTAATGGTTTGTAACTTAAAAAAACCAATTCCCTTTAAAAAAAATTTTTATAATATGGAATAATTCAGCAGTAAAAGAAGAGTAATCTTTGATATGCAAATAGCTGGACATTTACCAAAAAAGTCCAACATTATTACTTTTGACTTGAGCAAGCTTAAAGAAAAAAGAATTAGTAAAAAGTTAAAAGCAAGAGTTAAATCTCATGATAATGCTTGAAGATTATTCCAAACTATTATAATGGAAATTTATTATAAATGCTAAAGAATTGCTACAAAAATATCCTGTTGAAGAAATGGTAGACACAAACCAGCTCCATGACAAGCAGAGCCAAGGAGCACGGCAGAATAAAGAGCCTCCCATAAGTACTCCAAACAGTTGCTCCTCAAGAGGGGACTACAAGATAGTGGTCACTGGCAGATTTACAGCTCTGGGAGATGAGGAAATAGCCAGTTAGTTTAATCTCTGCTTGGGACCTTTGAAACAACACTTATATCCACATTATTTTCTTTTCTAACCAGTTTCAGAAGTTGTTTATTAACTGCTTTTCAGCTATTTAGGAACCTTTGGATTGACAAGTGTTACAGCACTGGGTGAGTTGCCTTCAATTCTTAGTGAAAGAAATTTTAAACACAAATTTAAGGACTTAAAAAGAGGATTTTTTTCCAGAATAAACAGCAAAAGATGATTGAAAAGCTTGATTTTAGAAAGTGACAAATGAACTAAAAGTCCGGGTAAAACAGAAATAAGATTTTGAAAGGATTCTGAAGAAGTTCCCATGTAAAATGCTTTTTAAAAAATTCTTACAAAATAGTAAGATAAGACTTTTAAAAATGTTCAAAAAAGGGAATTTAAGTTATAATTAAAGGAGTACGGTCAATTTCACAATTACAGAATGAAGCAAAACATTTTAACATTGGATATATTGAGAGATATTTTTGAACAATGGCCCAGAAATTCATTTTAATAGTATCTGCCTCTACAGATAGAAAATACAAGTAGTCCTCTACCTACAACCATTCATTAGTGACTGTTCAAAGTTACTTATGACCTATGACAGTTTGAAAAAGACCATTTTAGTATCCCCATGGTCATTGATCTGGCATGCATTTATGATGATTGCAGTGTCCCAGGTTGCAGTGTCATGTGTTCAACTTTTGACAACAAAGTCAATGGGAAAATCAGATTCACTTAACAGTTGTGTTACTGATTCACTTAACAACTATGGCAAGATCGATCATAAAATGAGGCAAAACTCACTTAACTGTTTTGCTTAGCAACAGTAATTTTGGGCTGAGTTGCGATTGTTGAGGACTATGCCATGTTATGATTTGAAAGTATATTTAAAAATGGTGGGCTACAAGAATGGCATGGAAAAAGATATTACACTGGATAAGAGCTGTGGTGGCACAGTGGTTAGAATCCAGTACTGCAGGTTAGTTCTGCTGACTGCCGGCTGCCAGCAGTTTGGCAGTTTGAGTCTCACCAGTTGAAGGTTGACTCAGCCTTCCATCCTCCCGAGGTTGGTAAAATGAGGACCCAGATTGTTGGGGGCAATATGCTGACTCAGTAAACTGCTTAGAGAGGGCTGTAAAGTATTGCGAAGCGATATAAAAGTCTTAAGTGCTACTGCTATATTCAAAAGAATACAGCTCCTTATGTGACTAAGTCTAGATCAATCCTAGAACGAAGCTTTCTCAGCCCCAGGGTTCATTGGAAGGCCAGGTAAGAAGCAGAGTAAAGATGACATGGAGATTTTCTTCTACACTTCTTAAATTGTGGTTTTATGATAGAAATAACATTGGAATCAGGTATTTTCTACTCTTTGGTAACAATAAAAAGATTATAAAGAAGAAGCATGAGGAACAATAGATAGTTAAGATAAATGCTTTATTTTTATATTTTTGTATGTTACAAAAATAAAGATACCCATATATGAATAAAACAACCCTCACTTTTGTGCTTTGCTCTGTATCATTCAAAAACAAACCTGTTCTATTGCTGGAGTCATGTGTGATACTGATAACACCTTTTGATTAATGAGTGCAAAGAATGCAAAAAAAAAAAAAAAACACCCCACCCCTTTGCTCACTATCTGATTGCACATTTGGCCAAGTCACAAAGTCCTTAGTGCATGTACTTGCTCTTTATATATTGATGTAACCAGTTCATCTCCTTGAATCCATTGCTCTTCCACACTTGATTTAACTGATGGAAGATTTAGTTACAATTTATCTGCTGCATCTCACCTCCAAGTATAATTTTTACAGCTTTCATTTGAGTATGTTTTTAGACATACTGGTAGCGCAATAGCTCAGCGGTTAAAGATGGTGAGCTTGTCAGCTGGAAAGCTGATAGCCTGGTTTCATGACCTGAGTGCCACACGACAGGGTGAGCTGTTGCTCGCCCCAGCTCCTTCCTACCTAGCAGTTCTAAAGCATGCAAATGTGAGTCAATAAATAGGTACTACTTCAGTGGAAAAGTAACAGAGTTCCATGCGTCATGGTATATAGTCATGCTGGCTACATGACCACGGAAATAAGTTTGTGTGTGGCTCCTTCGACAAGAAACAAAGATGAGTACCACCCCCTGGAGTTGGAAACAACTGGACAAGGGAAATTTTACTTTTATGTGGGTGTAGTAACTTAGTTGGCTTTTTAAAAATTGCTTTCAGCAATTTGTACTCCTTCTGTACCCTCGCTGTTCTTCCAATATATACTGATGGAAATTTAATAATAAAGCACAAACTATATCCAATAGTTGCTTTCTGTGACTATAATTTTGTTCTGCAATACTGAAAGCCTAAGGACGTAATAGATTTTACCTTTAATTCATCTTTTGGTGTTTATCCATAAGCCACCTGATTTAGATGCAGCAAAATACCATTAAATGAATATTTATCACATATTTCTTTTTATTTAAATGCCTTTTTATGTTCTGGCATTCACTGAAATACAATGTTCAATATATTCCTCAGATGAGGAGTAGTAGTAGTAGTAGTAGTAGTAGTAGTAGTCTTCTTCAATATATTTCTCGGGAGTAATAGTACCAGTAGATTTTGCCTCCCTTATTATACTTTAAGTTCAATTACACTCCAAATGAGCATGATTACTGAATTTAACATGGGGTTGCCAAACCATTCTCTTGCTCTTTTGATGTTTTTGCTTCAGTGATCATATAATTAGCTCTAAAAGGGCAGTTTGTTAAGACTCTCAATAATTACTCCCTTGGCAGATGTTAGTCAAAGTTTTGGAATCTGGATTATCCAGGCAGTCATATTCAATGAATTCGTTTTGTGGAGACCCTACAGACCCAAATGTACTGTTCCATCGAAGCTTTAGTTACAACCAACATTAGTCTTTAAGGTGCTAAATGGCTCTTTTGCTGCAAAAGTCATTGGTGAATTTCGTTTTCTCAGTCTATGCAATCCACTCTACTGGAATAGATTCTTCGGTATACTTTCCAGGGTTTCGCTTGGAAACTCTAGCGGCTCGTTCCTATTCTCCGTTTCTTCTGGGGACGAACGATCACGTGCTACGGTTTCCACTGTGTTTGCAACAGATGAATAAACAATTTTAACGTTTTTACACGGCGGAGGAGTGCCAGTTTGAAGCCCTTGCTCGGGCTAGAAGACAACAAAGCCTGTAACTGATTAGCTGAACTCGGGGACAAGTCAGTATTCTCCCCAATTTAGTAAATCGGTTTTGCAAACTGGACGCCACCCCATCTTAATTCGGAGGCTGCGCATTTTCTGAGGCGGACGCAAGAAAGCGAGCCGCCGCTCTGAAATGCGTTACCGTCTCTATGGTCGTACACAAACACACGCAGGGAACGTAGAAATGAAACCGGAAAACTCGCCTCAACTCCTCTGAGTCTCTATGATCAGTTTCTGTCCTGTGATTGGCGCCCGGGGTGGGGGGGGGGAGAGAACGCTTCGCTCTAATGTAGGATTGGTCCCGGCCTCAGTCACGTGGGGAGATTGGCGAGGAAGCGCGTGCCGGTCTCTGTGCTGGATGCGGCGCCCTTCTCCCAGCTACATGTGGAAGCATCTGCTGGGAGTGACGGCCAGAGCCATGTCTGGAGGGGGAGCCCGTCTTCAGCGTCCCCACAAGGACCCGCTGCGCCACCTTCGCACGCGGGAGAAACGCCACGGGGCCATCGACCGCAAGGGCCCCAACACCGTTTACCTGCAGGTGGTGGCGGGGGGATCGCGAGACATGGGAGCGGCGGTCTACGTCTTCTCCGAGTACAACCGGTTAGTCTCCGCCTGATTGCTCTCGCTTCCTTCCTTCCTTCCCGGTTCCCTTGGGACACGTGCAAGAGGCGTCGCATGAGTCGAAATGTCCTCCTTTCTGGTTCGCTGCGGTACAGGTAGTCCTCGACTTAACAGCAGTCCGTTGAAGGACCGTTCAGAGTTACAGCGGCGCTGAAAAAAGTGGCTTAATGACCGTTTTCCAGGAGTTTACGACCTTTGCAGCATCCCCACACGATCGATCGCGCGATCAGAATTCAGACGCTTGGCAACTGGTTCATATTCATGACCGTTGCAGTGTCTGAGAGTCATGTGGTCACTTTTTGTGACCTGATAAGCAAAGTCCATAGGCATAACCGGATTCAGATTCAGGATAGGAAGCCCTTGTGCATCTGTCTGTAAACAGCCGGGTTAATAATTTACCAGCTGCAATGATTCACTTTACAACTGTGGCAAGAAAAGTCGTAAAATGAGGCAAATGACATTTAACAAATGTCTCTTAACAACAGAAATTATGGGCTCAATTGTG